GAGCTGAGTGCGTGGAGCTGAATGAGGACAGGGTTCTGGCCCTACAGGTCACAGAGGTCCAAGTCACCATGCAGGATCAGTGTTTGTCAGGTGCCCAGCGAGAGGCCAGGAATAACGTCAGGGTTGTTTTCTCTCCAGAAACACGACGGTCAGTTCACCATCATCCAGCTGGTGGGCATGCTGAGGGGCATTGGTGCCGGCATGAGATACCTCTCCGATTTGGGCTACGTGCACCGGGACCTGGCTGCCCGTAACGTTCTTGTTAACAGCAACTTGGTCTGCAAGGTGTCCGACTTCGGCCTGTCGAGAATCCTCGAGGATGATCCGGACGCTGCGTACACCACCACGGTACATTCTGCGCTTTCTCGGTGCTGAGTCCCAAAGAACAGCAGGCATGCCACGCAACCTTCAGGGAGAGAAATCACAGGCTGCAGCCAAGGAATGAAGGCTGGGAAGCTCAGCCTTACCTCCACCCTCTTGTGCTGATGCCCTGAAATATGGAGCCCTTTAGACCATTATACATTCTCTGACACTTCATATAATACAAACTCGCTTCTTACACAGCCGTACATGGAGGGAGTTACAGCGCAGTGTGAGCTGGCACCTTTCCCAGCCGGCTCTCAATTACAGTCCACACACTGTGCAGAGACCCGAATCACCCTCTTCTGGGGGGGGGCAGGTGTCAGATTAATCCTCCTCCCAATCTGGTTCTGGCCTCCGGGCTGCTCAGTTCATACCCTAGCTCCTCTCTCCTCCCATTTCCCGTGTAACTGGGGGAGGTAACAGCTCATCTGTCTCAGGGAGTTTCACACAAATGCTGCCACACTGTTACATACATACAGTCTCAGGCTTGGCCTGATGTTTTAATCTCAGTGAGATCAACAGAACAAGCTGAGTTTGAAGTAGATTGGTTCAGTAGTTTAAAAATTGTTTAAAGTTATGGAGTCCCATTGCTGGCTGGAGCAAAGGATTTCTTATTTTAGGAAGAGCTAGCAGTGACCCCCTAGATTTAGGTAACATAACATTTCTGGTATAGATGATTCTTGTGACCTTTTTTTGAGGAGCTCTCATCCTTCCATTATATGCTGCAGGCCTTTGACATTCCACCGGGGCAAAGCACCGGAGCTAGAGACGTGCCTTTTGCTTGTCCCATGAAATTCTGTTGAGGTTTGGCTGAGACAGAAACATAAAAATCACCATTTCCGTTCTCGGCCTGCATGGCTTAGCTTGCCAGACTAGTAACTCAGCACAAACATTCTAAGGACAAGCCCCAGCTTCCACCAGGGCGGCGGCAGCAGCAACTGCCCAGGGAGCTGCCAGAGCCCCCGGAGTGCTGGGAATGAGGACGAGAGCCGGACAAGGCTCCCACCCTGACCACACTCCTTCCCAGACCTGACATATGGGGTAGGAGCCCATCCCCCACTCCAGGGGCACCACATGGGGCAGGAGCCCATCGCTTCTTGGCATGGGACGGGGGAGAGAGCCCACCCCATTCCCCTCTGAGCTGGCAGCCTTCTCCTCATATAGCGGGTAATGTGGTCTAAGTATGTGTTACAATAATGGAAGTTCAGGGTTCAAATCCTGCTGGTGATGCATGATGTGATGGCGGAGTTGACACAATTATACATCACAAAATTTGTTTTTTCTTTTAAAGAAAATCTTGAAATTACAAACAAAAGCTATGTTAAATGAACATACATTAGATTAGAGAGACAAGGTGGGTGAGGTAATATCTTTTATTGGACCAACACAAGTCAATTACCTTGTCTCGCTAATATCCTGGGGCCAACACGGCTACAACAACACTGCAGACATAATTTAGGTCAGTGGTTCTCAACCAGGAGCACACGTACCCTTGGGCGTTCGCAGAGATCTTCCAGGGGGTACGTCAGCTCATCTAGAGATTTGCCTAGTTTTACAACAGGCCCCATAAAAAGCACTAGCAAAGTCAGGACAAACTAAAGTTTCATACGACTTGTTTGTACTGCTTTATATGCTATACACTGAAATGTAAGTACACTAGTTATAGTCCACTTGATTTATTTTATAATTATATGGTAAAAATGAGAAAGTAGCGATTTTTCCGTAATAGTGTGCTGGGCCACTTTGGTATTTTGATGTCTGATTTTGTAAGCAAGTTGTTTTTAAGCGAGGTGAAACTCGGGAGTGTGCAAGACAAATTAGAGGGGTACAGTAGTCTGGAAAGGTTAAGAGCCACTGATTTAGGTTACAAAGTCAAGCACGCAAAAATTAGGAAATGCCAAATTTACTGTTGCCTGCACATCAGTTTGACCCCCATTTCCATACGTAACCCACTGGTCAGCGCCACTCTGAGTTCCCCTCTGAGCCCGCTCCCCGTGGGTATGGGTCTCCTTTACAAATGCTAGCTCATGCTTTCAGCTCTGGAGGGTTTCCTGCTCCAGTCCCTGAAGGGTTGGCCGAGGTGATGGTTTGCATTCTGATAGTCTGTAGGAACATGGTCACATACTATATTTTCCATGGGACCCTGCCTCATTCGGTGCACAGGATGGACACACAAAGGTGTAGAATTAAGGCCACGTGTGTAACCGTAATGCTGACATTTCTTAACCTTTGGGTGCTCGACTTTGAAATCTAAACAGCGTTCTATTAACATAGATTGCATGTGTGCGTGTCTGGTCTTTCATGTCTACCTTAATCCACCCAACAGAGAAGTAAGAGGGAGAGCGAAAAGCCAAGGATCTCTGTGGTTGGCTGCTCCTTTCCCCGGGATAAACATGCATCCTCCAGTGTCTAATAATTTCTGGGCTTGTTCTCCCTGCTGGGCTTGCATGCGGGACACCCTGCAGCACCACACCAGACACCTTCAGGGCAGAGGCTGCGTTCCTCAGTGAGGTGTAGGGAGAATGGGCCCAGAGTCTAGGCTTTCAGGAGTCTAAACATGAGCCCACTCTCTGCCTTATTGTCTTCCTTATATCCAGCTCTCTGGGACACCTGCGGGTGGAGGCCTTCCACCAGCCGGGCTAAATTCTCGGTGCTTTCAGGTTCAGTCCTGCGTGCAAGCAAAACTCTCCGTACTCGGCCTTGGTGACACAACAAGATTATCCTGGCAGGGCTGGGATGTGTCACATGACACGAGCCCCGAGCTGGTCATTGGCCCTTGTCAATCCTGCTCCAATTTCCAGATCTCCCACCTGCCCCGTGCCCTTGCTTTGAATATATCGGGGGCACTCTAGGGTAGACTAGGACACGCTTTACCCAACACGGGCATTTGCCACTGAGTGAGTCACTAGCTGAGGGTTTCCAGATGTCCTGAGCAGACACACTCCACTCACCTTTGCTTCAGCAGCTGCTAGTGATGGGTGCACGTCCGGTCTCAAGCCCGCTGCAGGGGCAAGAAATGGTATTTAAAATTCAGCCCCTTTACCAAGGTTGAGGTCAGGTCATATCTGAAATTAACACATTTGCTCAGCATCAGCACCTGCCCAGAGTCTGGCGTTAGGAGCCAATCCCGTGTTCTCATGCTGCCATTACTAACTGCTCCAGAGTTACCCGGGACAGGATGGCAGGGCTGCATCTGCACTGGCAAAGCCAGGATACGTCGCTCAGCCTGGGAGTGCGCCCACGTAGCCAGGCCAGGGCTCAGCGTGTCTTCTGGCTAACCCTGTTCTGAGCTGGGGCAGCTGACACGGGGGTGGAAATGCCTGAACCCTGCCTACACTAGAGCGCCTGCTGTTGCTACCAGTGGTGAATTATGGGTCCCACTTTGCCAGTGCAGACAAGGCCCAGGAGAGGACGGAGCTGCTAACAATTCACGGGAGGGAGGAGGAACCACATGCCCTTCCCAGTTGGATGAGCTCCCCGGCCCAGCGAAAGGAAGGGAGACCATTTCCGTGCAGGCCCTGCAGTGCCGCTGGTGCCAGTCACCGAACCAGAAAGCTGGGGGGTGTTCTTAGGGGGTGGGTGGGGAGCTGCCTGTTCTAGGCTCAGTCTGTATAGCGCCACCAGCAGCGCTACACTGGGAAAGGCCCCGCCCGGGGTCCATTGGTTCTTAGGGCTGACGCTGTGTGGTACCCAGTGGCTGCGGGTTGGACCCTCAGCACCGCCAGAATGGAGAGCCCTGCCTCAGGGAACTAGGCTAAGCACGATCAGGCCTGGGAGCTTTTGGCTGGGAGACCCGGGAGACTCCATGGTGTATTCAGAGTCGGCGGGTCTCTGTAACAGACTGGGCGTGCTGGCAGTCACGGAGATGCCAATGGCAGGCTCCAGGCTGATGCAAGTGGACATCCCCCTGTTGCGGAGTGTGGGGGACTCAGGGCCCTGTACCCCCGTCTCCCTGCGATTCACCGTGACTCTCAGCCAGCCAGTAAAACGGAAGGTTTATTGGATAACAGGAACACAGTCTACAGCAGAGCTCATAGATACGACCAGGACCCCTCAATCAAGTCCTCTTGGGGAGCGTAGGGAGCTTAGACCCCAGTTTGGGGTTCCCTGCGTTGCGTCTCCCAGCCTAAAACTGAAGACGTCCCAAAACCCTCCAGCAGCCCTCTCCCTCCTCCCCCCTGCTCCTCTTCCTTTGTTCAGTCTCCCGGGCAGAAGGTGTCACTTCCCCCACCCCCCTTCCTGGCTCAGGTTACAGCTCAGGTAGCTCAATGTAACTCCCAGGCTACGTTCCCAGGTCAAATCTGCCCTGCTCCCTGCTCCGTCACATCTCTCCCCCCTTCGAGACTGAACTGAGCGGGGTCACTCTGCCCAGTGACCTGGGGAAGTTCAGGGCCCCCTCTCCGGGACAGCGCGTCCGCTATCAGGTTGGCACTTCCCTTCACATGGACCACGTCCATGTCATAACCCTGCAGGAGCAAGCTCCACCTCAGGAGCTTGGCGTTGGCTCCTTTCATCTGGTGCAGCCAGGTCAGGGGAGAGTGGTCGGTGTGCACGGTGAAGTGTCGCCCAAAGAGATATGGCTCTAGTCTCTTGAGGGCCCACACCATGGCCAGGCATTCCTTCTCGATGGCCGCGTAGTTCTGCTCCCGGGGTAGCAACTTCTTGCTCAGGTACACGATAGGGTGTCTCTCCCCCTTTTCATCCTCTTGCATTAACACCGCCCCCAGTCCCATGTCTGAGGCGTCGGTGAACACCAAAAAGGGCTTGTCAAAGTCTGGGTTTGCCAGAACTGGGCCACTGACCAGAGCCTCCTTCAGCGCCCGGAGCGCTTTCTGGCACTCCTCGGTCCAGACCACCTTGTCTGGCTTCCCCTTCTTGCACAGCTCAGTGATGGGGGCGGCTATGGCGCTAAAGTGGGGCACGAACCTTCGATAGTATCCCGCCATCCCAATAAAGGCTTGGACCTGCTTTTTGGTTTGGGGAGCGGGCCAGTCTCTGATCACTTCCACTTTGGCTGGTTCCGGCTTTAGGCAGCCGCTTCCCACCCGGTGACCTAGGTAGGATACTTCAGCCATCCCCACCTTGCACTTCTCAGCTTTTACGGTCAGCCCAGCATCCTGGAGTCGGTCCAGCACTTGTCTAACCTGGGACACATGGTCCTCCCAGGTCTGGCTAAAGACACAGATGTCGTCAATATACGCCAC